TCATTTTTTTCATTTTTATTGATAAAAATATTATTATGAATTTTTCTCTGATTACTGCTTTAAATGCATCCCATAGATTCTGTGTTTTCTGTGTAATTATTTTGATGAAGTCCCAAAAGTTTATTTTTGCTTTTGTTTCCTTTGCCTTTGGAGACATATCTTGAAAGAAGTTGCTGTGGCTGATATCGAAGAGATTACTGCCTATGTTCTCCTCTAGGATTCTGATGGATTCCTGTCTCACGTTGAGGTCTTTTATCCATTTTGAGTTTATCTTTGTGTACGGTGTAAGAGAATGGTCGAGTTTCATTCTTCTACATATAGCTGTCCAGTTTTCCAGCACCATTTATTGAAGAGACTGTCTTTTTTCCACTGTATATTTTTTCCTGCTTTGTCGAAGATTAACTGACCATAGAGTTGAGGGTCCATATCTGGGCTCTCTACTCTGTTCCACTAGTCTATGTGTCTGTTTTTATGCCAGCACCATGCTGTCTTGGTGATCATAGCTTTGTAGTAAAGTTTGAAATCAGGTACCGTGATGCCCCCAGTTTTATTTTTGTTTTTCAATATTTCCTTAGCGATTCGGGGTCTCTTCTGATTCCCTACAAATTTTTGGATTATTTGCTCCAGCTCTTTGAAAAATACCAGTGGAATTTTTATCGGAATGGCATTAAAAGTATAGATTGCTCTAGGCAGTATAGACATTTTAAAAATGTTTATTCTTCCGATCCAAGAGCATGGAATGGTCTTCCATCTTCTTGTGTCTTCTTCAATTTCTTTCATGAGTGTTCTGTAGTTCCTCAAGTACAGATCCTTTACCTCTTTGGTTAGGTTTATTCCCAGGTATCTTATGGTTCTTGGTGCTATAGTAAATGGAATCGATTCTCTAATTTCCCTTTCTGAATTTTCATTGTTAGTGTATAAGAAAGCCACTGATTTCTGTACATTGACTTTGTATCCTGCCACGTTACTGAATTGCTGTATGAGTTCTAGTAATTTGGGGGTGGAGTCTTTTGAGTTTTCCATATAAAGAATCATGTCATCTGCGAAGAGAGAGAGTTTGACCTCTTCATTGCCAATTTGGATACCTTTTATTTCTCTTTGTTGTCTGATTGCTGTTGCTAGCACTTCTAATACTATGTTGAACAAGAGTGGTGAGAGTGGGCATCCTTGTCTGTGTAATTATTTTTAAAAATTCTATACTTTTAGTTTGTATTTATTAGTCTTTCACTAAATGTCAATGATAGATTTTTTTAAATATCCAAGTGGAAATGACTTTCTGGGTTTTTTTGTTGTTTTTTATAATGTATACTTTTATTGCATTGTGATCAGAAAGCGTTTGGAGTATTTCTACATTATGGAAATGGTTGATGTTTTCTTTGTGACCTAATATATGACCATTTGTAGGGAATGTGCTATAGATTCTTGAGAAAAATATGTTTTCTATATTATCAGGGTGTGGACTTTACTGTATATTATAAGCTCTGCCTTGGTTGTTGCTGTGGCTTCCATCTGTCTTCATACTTCTTCCTCGTGCACTTGCTCTGCCTTGAATGGAGAATGGTGTATTTGAGCTCCTGTTTTTCGTCCATGCCTACGTGCCTCTCCTTGCATATCCTGTCACCTTTGCTTTGTAAAGGTGGTGTGTTTTTTTTTGTTTTGTTTTTTAGATTTTATTTATTTGAGAGAAAGAAAGAGGGAAAGCATAGAGGGAGAGGGAGAAGCAGACTCCCCACTGAGCAGGGAGCCCGATGTGGGGCTTCATCCCAGGACCCTGAGATCACAGACTGAGCCACACGGGCCCCCCAAGGTGGTGGTTGTGTGACTTGGTTGTATAGATGTTCATGAGTGTTACTGTCTTTTTTGCAAACTGTGGCTTTAACATTAAATATATCCTCTTGTATTTAACCCTTTGGGACTTGAATTCTACTTGCCTATGTCTCTCTCTTTGTTTCATTTACCTTCATTCATTCTTTTGCTCTTTGGCCATTCTGAAGGACTTTATTTTAGGTGTCCCTCTTGTATACAGGGTTCATTTGGGTCTTGTTCTGTGAGCCCAATTAAAAACCTTTTTCTTTAAATAGGTAAATTAAGGCCATTAATATTTATTGACATGACTGATGATTTGCTTGCAACTCTATCCGAATATTTTATAATGTGCATATTTTGTTGTATTTGCAATTCCTTTATAAGATCTGTATTCTTCACTTTTATATTTTTGATTTTGGATTTAGAGAGATTTGTATTTTCTAGTCATTACCTATGTATATAAACCTATTTCTATGTCCTTAGTAACCTGTTTTGTTGAACTCTTTATTGTCTGATTTGGTTTTTTCTCACATTCTTCAGTGCACACCTGTTGCTTACGCAGTAATTACCTGTGCATTACTCAAAGTTTTTGCTCTTTACCTCTTCCTTCATCTCACATTTTTTAGTTGAATTACTTCTGTTTTGTCACTGTGTGTCATATTTGCACATGGGTCTTTCAGCTTCATTGCACCTTTATTCTGGCCTAACGTACATCTAAGTATTTTTACATGTGTCTCCTAAATCCTTCTGCTGTAGCTCCCAGTCATCACTGGGGCAGGTGAAGCTTACCCTCCCATAAGAGTCCTCAATAAAGGCTGACTGGGTGTCCTCCTCTCCAAATTCACGTTGTTAAAGACTGCATTTCTGTGGGCTTGGTAATTGAAGGATGGCTGGCTGGATTTAAAAGTCTTGGTTCATACTTTCATTGAATTTAAAAAAATGTTGCTGCCTCGTTGGGGTGCATGTGTGTTGGTTCTGAGAAGTCGCCTGCCAGCTTGCTTCCTCTGCAGAGTCATTGGTTGTTGCCCTCCGGCCCTGAGGACTTTGTCCTTTCCTTTGAAATTCCTTGTTTCATTGGGAGGCGTCTCAGAGTCGATGCTTCTGAGTCATTTTTCCCAGGTACCCTGTGAGCCCTTTCCTTTGAAGATTTGGGCCTTTTTCTATTCTGGGAATTTTCTTACAGAGTTAAATGTTAGCTTTGCTGTATTGTTTTTGCTTTCCTCCCCTTTTCCAGTCCTTCTATCGCTGTCCTCCTCTTGGTTGAGATCCTGTCTTTCCTCAATGCCCTTTGTTAATTTTTTGAATTTATTCTTCTTGGATGCTCTGTAATCAATTCCTTACTTCTGAGATAATTTTATTTTCCTTCCATTACTATCCTGAGTCCACTTACCAATCCCTTGCTCTCTCCGTTTTTGTCCTTTTCTGTTTTTAATTCTGCATTTCTAATTCAGGGTGGTTTTTCATATCCTCAAATGTTTGAATATGTTTAATTATGTTTTGGGAGTGTAAATTCCAATTTTGTTTTGACTTGCGGTGGTTTTCAGGAGGACGTTTCTCTGGTAAAAGATCGCAAGTCTGGCGGCAGCCTCTTCGTTTGGTGTGGCCAAGTGCAGGTGACGCTGTGGTAGCTGTTAGCCGGCTGCTTGGCTTTGGTGAGGACGGGCCGGGGTGAATCTGATGCTATTTCCTCTTTACTCCTACAACCGCACGCTTTTCCTCTTCCTCTTTTAGCTTCACCACTCAGTTGCCAAAAGGTACTTCTCCCTTCCCCTTTTGCCTGTTGTCTTCCCGGGAATGCCTCTGTAAATGGTGTCTGTCCCCTTAACGCTGCGTGTGGGCTGATGCAGGCGCTCAGGCACGTCAGAACGTCTTCATGTTCATGTGGACTTTTCATCCTTCTCGGTGCTCCTCTCTGTCCGGCGGTCTTTCCTTCTGCCCTGGCTCCCTGGAGCTTATGACAGCACGTGTGAGGTGGGGGCCTACGTGGCCCCCACCAGGACCCGGTGGCTTTTCTCCTACCCTTTTCTTCATATTTCACATTCTCTGGCTTCATTATGCCCGGTGTGTGGTTTGATGTAGAATTTGTAGTTTCATTTGGGGAACCATAAGGAAGTCAGTGACTGTGTAGCCAGTCTTGTCTTCAGCCATCCAGAGGTCAAGCACTCACCCAAGAAATTCTTCTTGGTGGGCTGAGGGGCTCAGAGTTCAGCATTTTCTGGTTTAATTTCAAAATTTCCCTGTAATCTTTTAAGACATGTTAGAGAACAGTAAACCCATGATATAAGGCTCCTGTATTGAATAAATCCATTGAGTTTAAAAAAAAAAAAAGGCAGTTTAGAAAACACAAGTAATAGTACAGATAAGAAACAAATTGGGTGGAAACCATGATGATGGTTTGCAAGAGACCAGAGAAGCAGAGTGAGCCGGTGTGAGGGCTTTGTTTTCTGACCTGGTGGGAGCTGTCCAGCAGCAGAGTCTGCAGGCTGGCCCTGGGGATAAGGGATGGACTTCACCACCCTTTGCAAAACTCTTCCTGGTTCTCAACTTTGTGTTGCTGAACACAAAGTTGTGCACAAAATGCACGAAGTCTTGGGATTTTGAGAGTGAATTTTTTTTTCCTTTAGTGTTAGAGGATTGCTTTTGTAATTTATCTTCTTTAGTTCATGGGGAAGCAAAAACCAAATGCTATCTTTCCCGGAGGTTGTCAGTTACAGAGCATGTGTGCAACCTGAAAATAAGTAAAATTAATTTGCTCTTCAGTGTCAGTGAAACAAAGAATTATCCCCCTGTGAATTATTCATATTGTATTAGGAAAGTATGGAACTCGGAACTAGGCAAAATGTGTTAAAGTATGTAACTAGTTTCCAGTTCAAAATGGATCGATTTTGTATATTTTCAATATCAATAAACCAGTCACAAGAGTTTAATATAAGAGTTTTGAGCAAAATTGTTTAAAATGTCTATTTTAAATCCATAAAGCCAAGTAAACACCAAACAGTGCTAGAAATAATGAAGTTAAATGTAATTGATGGAACGGGTTCCTGAAAGACGATGTTTAAAATCACCCCTCAGACGCCCTGTAAGCCCTGCAACTGCGCAGGGGTCTCTGTTTGCCGCCGAAGTCCGCAGAAGGCAGAGCCAGTTAGTGCCCCGCGCTCCCGGAGCCGCCTCGAGTGACGCTTCGTGTCTTTCAGAAACGGGCATGCAGGAGAGGAGAAGCAGCCGGGCCGGAGTGGGCCTGCCCCCCCACAAACCTCAGCGCCCTGGTGTCCTGGAGTGATGAGGGGCGGCCATGTCTCGGGGTAGGTTCCTGTTCCCACCAAGCCAGCTGTGACCCATTTAAATATTTTAACAAAAAGTGTAAATAGTCCCTGTTCTGATGCGTCTGCGGCTCTGATTTGTTGACTAGATTCCTCACAACGGTGGAGGGAGCTCGGCCCAGCCTTGCCCGAGATGTATTGCGGGGGAGTCTGTAAGTGCATTAACCTTCTTGTGTGACATAGAAGACAGACTTGTTCGTAAATATTAGATCCATAAAACAAAGTTAATAAAAATGGCAATTACATTTCTAAGGAATGAGGGATATAAATAAAAAGGTGCAGATTGATTTAAGCCTTTCTTGGCATTCTGCTGGGGTGCAAACTGATTTGTTTCCAGCTTCAGATTGGAAATAGAAATGAAAATGCACTTAAAATCTTTAATCAACACAGGGTTCAGGGAAGGGAACAGGCCACTGGATACAGTTAATAGAGATCATTTGAGGGCATGTTGGAGCGAAGCCCTGACCTCAGTTAATTATAAAAATAGGAATGGACGTTGTTTTCTCCCTTCCCTGGTTAAACTTTCTTTGGTGTTCCCATAAACTTCACAGAAACTGCAGATTTCAGGAGGAGAAATGCAGTGTTCACACCATTAATTCAACGTAAAGAGGTCTACAATGGCTGGAGTCAGAATCTCAGTTTCCTTTGTTGGTCAGAGTACTGTAAAGCACACACAAGCATAATAGTACAATTGTTATTAATTTTGTGCTTATTCTAAGAACAAGTTAATGTCCTTGGTAACCTCTGTAATTTTTTTTTTTATATTTTAGACTTAGAATGTTAATATTGGAATAAAATAGAATTACGTTTAATTGCCACGTAGAAACCAGGAGAAGAGTGTGTGTGTGTGTGTGTGTGTGTGTGTGTGTGTGTTTAGAAACTGGGGTGCGTATCTCTGTACACGTGAGTGTTTCTTAGATTTCCCTCTACAGGGTTTAGAGAATTGTATTGCTCTGTTTTGGTCAGCAAAAGATTGGGTTGATCCATCGTAAGATTTTGAATGGGCATACCGCAGGCTGCCGGGTTTTACATGTTTTACAGTGAGAGGCATGGATTTTGTTTTAATTGAAGACCTAGCGCTGTGTCAGTTATGGCCCACATGAACTGCCGATCGTCTGAAGTCGTTGTAGAAATAGGAAAACAAAGCTTAGTGTCCAACTCATTCCGTGAAGGTGTGCTTTTCGTACTCTTATTTTCAGGAGAATTTCTGCATGTTACGCTGCATTCCATGCTATAATCCTGAACAATAGTGAAGTCAGAGATCTGGTGATTAGAACTTACTGTATTTTGGGTCGATTCCTGTAACAGGCACACATGCCCAGGAATACAAATACATAACGTTTACCTTGAGAAATGTGGCCCCATTATGAGTAAATTATGTTAATACTGGTGACTAACTGGTAACCTTCTTTGTTCTCATCCCATTTCCATGGAATGTATCTCTCAAATCCCCCATCTGGTGGGCTGACACTTGGAACGTCTTATGCATTCTTAATGCTCTGAGATGCTGTGTTCTGCCATGAATGGCTTAAAGAAAAAAAAATTTGGCTCAAGCACCTGATTGGATCATTTTAGCTAATATTCTGTTTGAACAACAGTTTCTATTTGATTAGGATTTTTCCTTCCTTTGTAACTCCCCAAGCTTGCCTCTGTTCTGTTTCATAGGAAATGAATCTGTGAGCAGAGAACCTACATTGATAGGTAAATACATCATTTTTTCCCTTAGTGCTCAATATTCTTTTCATCTAAATTTCAGAAACTGACTTTAAAAAATCAGTTTCCCTTTATCTGTAGTTATTCTCAATAAAATTTCACCCAGGCTTGGGTGATTTAATATTTACACCCACTGTTTCTAAAAGTCTTATGTAAATAAAGATTGAAATGTGAATTTGAAAAGTCACACCTCTTGATATTTGAACAGACTATAGCTGCATATATCTTCTTTTTCTAATAATATGGCTAGTTTCTCTCCTAAGCTTTTAAAATAATAAGACACCATTTTTGTATTCTGGAACATCAGAAGGTTCAGTGTTAAATAAAAAGCAAATAGTATTTTTAGAAATGTGAGATCCCAGGGAGAAGTGCTTAACAGTAAATCACTGATGGGCAGCAATTCCAAATTTCAGAAGACTTTATTAGACACATGGCTCCATTCACAAACGTGCACTCATGTGCGTGAGTGTGCCCTGTCCTGTACCATTTTCCTAGAGCGGACCCAGGGTGGTGACCTGGGGTCAAAGAGAAGCAAAGTTTGTATCAAGGGGTCTGTGGAACCCTAACGGGAAACCTGCCTTTGAGTCTCAGCTGCTTGGGTGCTGCTCTCACTATAATGTCCCTTGGCTCCCCCATAACGTCTCTTGGTGCTCTCCCCATCACCTCCCTTGGTGCCCCCTCATAACCTCCCTTTGTGCTGCCCCATCTCCCCTGTTCCCCATCACCTCCTTTGGTGCTCTCCCCATCACCTCCCTTGCTCCCCCCATCGCCTCCCTTGGTGCCCCCCATCACCTCCCTTGCACCTCGTTTCCTGGTGTGCTTCCGACTGAGCAGGACCTCAGCCGACTGGCGGGTGCTGCCCGGAATCTTCACGCGCTCTCAGCTTCGTGCCTGAGCACCGGCTCTCTCTCTCCTCCTGAGCTTTTCCTCATTTTGAACATGAACCGTTTCTCATGAATGGGGGGTCTTGGCTTCACAGGTATGCGGGGCCTTTCTCAGCTGGCCTCCTCCGCCTCCTTTCCAGGTTGGCGCGTGGTCCCCTCCCGTAGGGTCTGCGCCGGCTGCCTGTGCGTGGACCGCAGCTTCGGCTGCTGCGAGGTCCCTGCCGGGGCAGAGCTGCCTCCTCTGAGCTCTGCTGCGTCCCGCTCAGGTGACTGACAGCTGCAGGGAGACCGTCGCTGTCCTTGTGGTGAGGTGTGGTGCTCCGGCCCCGGGGTGTCTGCCCCACCCCTCTGTGCTGCCCCACTGGGGCCCCGAGCCCAGAAGCAGTGCCGTTGGCTGCCGCGCGGACCCCACATCCATCACAGGTGCTCGCTCCTCTGGGCCCAGCCTGCCCCCTGCTTCCTGCTCGGGTTGGCTCGGCCGGCCCGGCACGGGGTCCACGGCAGCCACGGGGAGGGTGGAGACCACGCCGTCCTCTGCGGATTCTGACCCATTAAGTGAAACCTGGCAGGGCTCCGCAAGCTCTCCAAGCAACCGAGCAAAGCTCCGGTGGGCTGAGGGGTAGCGTAAGGCAGAAGGCTCCAGGAAGGACAGATTTCCCTCCTTTGCTGAGGTGGAGATGCTGGGTTCCCGCCACTGTCCTCGAGAGCATCTGGTCTCTGACATCAAAGCTCCGAGCACAGGAGCCCTCATGGACGGCGCTGCCCTCAGGGTGTACGGGTCGTCCTGACGCCAACTGCCTGTTCCTCCTCAGCAACCTTCCCCGCCTCTGCTCTGCTCTGCGTTGTGGGGACTCCTCGGCTTCTGGTTTCTGAGCTGGACGCTGGGGTATGGGGGCGGGCCGGCCGGGAGCGGGAGCATCTCTCCCTCTGCCCCTCCCCCCAGGGTGCCAGCTCCTGCACACTTGTCCCCGTGGTCCCAGCTCTGTGGGTGGCCTGGGCTCCTGGCCCTGGGCCATGCCACCGCCTCCCTAGGTCCTACCCCCACAACCACCTGCCCCTGGGGGAGGCTGAGGCTGTCTGGGGATGGAGGGTCTGGTTGCCTCGCCCTCCCCCATGGGGCTTTTCTGCTCTTCCTCCCTTAGTGCGCTTGAAGCCACATTAATCTCCCTGTGCGAGTCCCTAGGTCCCTCTCTGACTAGACCCTTTTGGGCTTAATTATCTAACGAGAGGACAAGTCCAAGAGAAAGGTTGCGGTCTGAAGCACGGGCCTCCGGGTCTCCAGGTTGAGGCCAGCGCGCTCGGCGTTTGGGAGGCGGACAGCCCCCGGCCCAGCTCGGAGCCGCCTGGCGTTAGCCTGGAAGAGAGTCAGGCCCCTCCGTGTCGCTCTCCGGGGGTTCGCTGTGTTATCGGGGGCGACCTGCGTGTCAGGACCTGGGCTGCTAGCGAACTGCCGCTCAGAGGCCAGCGCGCGGAGCAGGTGTTTGGTCTCACGGACCCCCCCAAGCTGACTGGGCAGCAACCCGTTCACCAGCGCTGCGGGCAGGTGCGAAGGGAGCCGTCTCACCGCCTCTGCTGCTCGCTTGTTGACGCGGGACGCGCTGTCTGATCGCTGTGGGGGAGGCGGGAGCAGAAATCCAGGCTGCGGCGTCCGGGCTTTGGGCCATGCCCGCCGCCTGGCGTCCCCACAGGGCCATCCGGGCCAGCCCGTGGGGGAACATTCGGATCCTGAATAGATACACTTGTTTTCTTCGCACTTTTTGATCTCTAAGCGGGCGACCTTTAAAATACTGGTTGTTTACCTCTGTCTCGTCGGTGATTGCTTCCTGCCTCCAGACACCTGCCGGCCAAGCCCCGAGGCAGGAGCGGCCCAGGAGCTGGCGCGCTCAGTCCGCCTTTCTCCCGGGCCCGCGCCCCACGGCGACGGCTGCCGTGCTCACACCCAGTGGCCCAGGCGCCAGGCCGCGGCCGAGGCGGGGATGAAAATGTGACGTCCTGACACAGAGGAGAGAAGGCCGAGGTGCGGCGCGTTTGCCCCTTGTGTCCCGTTTCTGCAGGAGCTCGTCCTTGTCCGTCCTTTATTCTTAGCCTGAGAGGAGAAAACGCCACCAGATGGAACCAAGGGAAGCTTCACCGCGTCTGTGAGAATCCGAACACGCCTGTCCGTTTGGCCCACGTGTGTCAACGATCCCAGAGGTTGTTCAACCCCGTCCCTTGAGAGATAAGGAGTCGGGGCCCCCGTGGTGTCGGGCAGGCTCGCGGTGCTCTCCGCGCCTCCTGGCCACTCCGCGTGCTCACGGCTTCCCTGTCCCGCACCGGGTGCGGCGAGCGGCTCTCACCCGCGGCGGGGGCCTGGGTCTTCGCGGCCGCCTCGCCCAGATGCAGGGACAGCTCCTTGGCCAAGGCTCAGTGCGGGATGACTCCGACCAGAGGAACACGCTGGCCAGGAGACGAGCCTGGCTGTGTCAGGACAGCCAAAGGTGGATCCCAGAACAGAGGCGTTTGGATCGACTTGCGTACACGGTCTTTCCAGGCTTTGAAGGAACACAGAGCCTTGA